TTAAGATCTGAGGTCTTTGAAGTACATTTGTGCTTCAGAGAGCAGTGAATAGAGAACACTTTATGCATCAGAATATGTAGAAAAATGCTTTTGATTGAGACTTATAGAATCACACTCAGATTCTAGTTTCCCTCAATCAGAATCTAAACCTAGTCATACTTCCCATTTCTCAGTTAATTTAGTATATTTTGAATGCCACCCTCCTTCCTCATCTTCATGAATAAAAATTTTAAAAGTTTGTCTATCATTGGAGAGTCAGAAGATAGACTTTGCTTAAAGAGAATCAAATTATGATCTCCAATTAAACAGAAATTTGGTTAGTAAATGGGATTATTCTTCTTTAAAATGATTTCTTCTTTTTCTAATCCCTTAGCCTAGCAGAAAAATCCTACACAATATAACAACCCCAACCTCATGCCTTTTCACCAAAATTAACATTACATACCTCTACTCCACCAGCCTCAATTTATGGTACACTGAAAGGACACTTACATGTTTTCCACCCTCAGCTTTTTGCTCTTATCTTCTATCCTGCCTAAGAAACCAGTTCTCTTCCTTTCTTTGAATGTTTTCCTTTCTTTCAGACTCAACTTGAGCTCAGGGATGTTCATCCCTGAATGACTAGAATCTATGGTTTTCAGTGGCCTTTCACTCCAAACTCTTAAAGTATATATATATATATATATATATATATATATATATATATATCATCACATACCTGATAATCACTGCTTTTGTTAGCTTTGTTGTAATTCTTGATATTTATTATTCACCAGAATCACTTGGGGTTTTGTTAAAGAGACAAAGAGACAAGTTTCTTTGGCTGTGCTGTAGAAACTCTGTTTTAGTAGTTGTGGGAGGGAGTCCCTAAGACTCCTGTCCCTTGGCTATTTAATCAAACATAAACCCAAGTACAATTGTAAAAGGACACTATCAATGTAATTGAAGTCTCAGTCAATGTGCCTTCAAGTATCTTAAATTACCTGGGTGGGCCTAATCCAATCATATGAGCCCTTTCAGAGCACAGTGTTTTCTCTGATATATGACAGCAGAAGAATCCAGAGAGCTTCCAAGGATGGGAAGGCCTCCACATGCCTGTGCTGGTTTAAAGATGGAGAGGGCCATATGCGAAGGAAGTGGGTGGCCTCCAGGAACAGAGAGCAGGCTCCAACTGACAGACAGTAACGGACTGAATTTTGCCAACAACTTGAATGAGTTTGGAATTGGATTTTCCACCAGAGCCTTCACATAAGGATGCAGCTTTGTGAGACATATATTTTGGTCTTGTAAAACCCTAAAAAGATAACTCAGCCAAGCCTACCTGGATATCTAACATTCAGAAACATGCAATAATAAATAAACGTTGTTTTATACTGCTAACGTAATGGCAATTTGTTACATAACAATAAAAAAGCAATATAATAAATTTAGGCTTGGGCCCAGGACTCTGCATTTCAGTAGTAGGTGGTTTTTAACCACAACTTAAGAACTTCACCCAAAAGTTCATTATTTTCATTCTATATATCCAATAAGTGAGCTTCATGCTAGTTTCCTATTTAGCAAGATAACATATTTGTCCCATTACCTTGCAGTTAATTTCATCTCCCACTGATACTCTCTTAGGAATAGTTAGGTTTTTTTGACTTTATAAAATCTCCAAGGTAGACAAGCTATTTTCATCCCCAGTGTAATAACTGAAACCTATGCTTATACAATGAAAATGCTAGAAAATCAGAGGACATGACGTCTAGATGGGCCAATAAGTTCTTTGAGATTGTACACTGGTCACACAGCAGTAAACAGTTCTTGCTACGTCTTTAGTGAATCAGGGTTCCATCTGAAATTTTGACAGAAGTACTCTAAAACTGCAATCACAAGTGCCAGGTATTATGCTGCCTCTCAGCATGAATGGTAATCCCCAGGTATTAATGGAGAGGTTTCCAGATAACATGATAGTATCTTAGTTACTTGTTACTAAGACAAAATACTCACATCTCAAATTAAAGGAGGAAAAGTTTATTTAGCTCACAGTTTGTAGAGGTTTCAATCCATAATCAGCTGGCTCCCAGGCAGGGGAGCACATGGCAGAGGGTCAACCATTCACAGCAGCAGAAGACAGCAAAAGCAACAAGAGGGAGACAAGACCCTTTCCATCCTTTATACTGTATGCAGGCTATGTGTCCTAGGGTGGGTGTAGCATTCACACCCTTAATCTAACCCAGACTAAACCAAAGCAATCAGTGGACTGATTAACTAGTCATACACCCATAATTCCAACACCACACATTCTTCATTCCTCCACCTCTGAAAAAGTCCTATGATTGCATGAGGCTTTGGGAGACATCTAGACACAAATCATAACACATGGTAGCAGGTGGCCTGCTCAGCAGGCCTGAGAAATCTAAGACAGACAAATACAGGACTTGAGATTCCTGGATATTCAGAAACTCTGTCAATATCAAAATTATCTTAGTTTGCTTGTGGGAGGGAGACAGTTGACCACAACTTTTCCATAAATGATAACTGTCAGGTATTAGGCATGGAAAAGAAATTGGAACTGTTCTAGTTCACGCTCTTCCCACAAACTGCTTGACCACCCAGTGATGGGGAGCTCATTACCTCATAAACCAGACTATTTCATGTCTGAACAGCTCTGTCTGAGCTGTGCCTGACCTCCCTGTATTCAGTTTCAGTGCCGTTAGGAGGAATGTTGCACCATGCTACATTGCTAGTCTGGATTTAAAGATCCTGTGCATATTAGAAACCCATCATTGTAACCCATTCCTGTGCTGCATGTGTTTTAAGAGAAATTGCCCGATTTTGACAATATTTTCTTGCATATCCTCCCCACACCATTCCCCATGCTTGGTCTCTTAGAAAATCAACCATATCAGAAGCAGTGAGGAGAAAGGCTTCAGACAGGCACAGGGCTTACAGAAATAAGATATGACAATGAAATGACAAAGAGAAACAGACACACTTGGTGCCTAGATAACAAATGTCCCACTGAATTCAAAGTTCCAAGAAAACAGACAAAATCTGAAGTAGCATATTTAGGTGTATTACTTTCTTAAAACAATTTCTTACTATTGCTCCACTATTTTATAGATCCTACAGCCTTCACTCTTTCTGCCAGAATCATAAAGCAGCGGCAGTTACAAGCTCTCTAATGGAGTCTCTCACCTGAATAGAGAGGAAAAGATTTCAAAGCAAAAAAGAATAGACTGCAGAGGAGGAAAAGCAGCCCACAGTCTACTCACTCAAATAATATAACACAGTCTTTGTCTTACCTGTCAGGACCTATAAGTCTGAAAAACCAAATATGTACAGTGCTTATGTGTCTAGACAGATAGACAGATTTAGACAATCATGGAGCTGAATTTTCATGTTTTGGGAAAATTTCCAGCCAATGTCCTGCTGCGAAACCTTCCTGCCACAAAAATCCATAGCTGATTGACACAGGAATTCAAGCAAGAGTTTTCAGGTTCTGATGGAGGGGGAATGATTTGACTTTAAAAAAAAAAAGTTACTTTGCTGGGTCCCCCTCCTTCCCGGCAGCCCAATGCAACACCTGTCTCATCAGCAGGAGCCCTCCGAAGGGATGGGCCTCAAGGAACTCCAGTCCCTGGATTCTCCATGCCTCATTCTTCATCCACGCTGCTCGTAATGTGCCATCACTGGCACAGTTACACCTGAACACTCCGGTGCTGCCAAACACCTGGCTTGATTTTCCACTGTCCAAATGAAAAATAAGCATAATCTGCTTTTTGAGGATACAGCAAATGAGGGAGTTCATGACAAATTGTGTTGGTTTATGCAGAATAGTGATAATAAGATACAAATGAGAATTTTTTGCTTAATGAATAATACTAATCACGTTTCAACAAATGCTGTGCCCTTCTAATTAGAGAGACTGCATAAAATCAGCTTAATTTATTTGTGACTAGTTATACAGAGTTTAAATATTTACTAGAGATTTACTCAAATGTTTGAGACGATTTTAAACATTTCCTACAGTAGAAGTGGCCTGCCTAGTTCTGTGGGCTGTGGAGACAGCTCTAACTTGTGGGGGCTCTCTGAGTTTTCAGTGTGTGATGAAAATCCCAGTTTCAAAATCAAGAAGAAAGGGCATTATTGATTTACATGCTAATTCTCCAACTGTTACTCATTTTCTTGATTCCAGCTTCCAAAGTTGCTCTCCCAACATTCATCACTGTAGTACACTAGAGGGGATGAGCATCTTGTTCAATAAATTAAAGGAACTATGACTAATTACAGTGATATTAACTATGCAAAGCAATGTGTAACTTAAAATGGATACGTTCATCATTTCAAATTATGCCTTTGACTTTTGATGGTCTAATATACACACACTCCTTTTGAACTAAATGTGCACTCTATTTTCTGGGAACCTCTTTATAATTCTAAGTTCTGCTTATGAACATAATGACCCCCTAAATATAACCATCTCAAGCCTATTCAATGACCCAGAGCAATTAACAGAAGAACCTACAGAGGACCACAACACGCTTCTGACATGGAATAAGACATAAAGAGGCTCTCATGAGAAGTCTGATGAACCATTTTTTGTTGGGGGCAGGGAGCACTGGGATTAAAATCAGGGTCTTTGTATTTACCTACATCCTAGGACCTATATCATTTTTTTCATTTTGAGATAGATTCTAAGTTGCCAAGTTGCCCAGGGTGGGCTCACATTCGGACTCCTCCTGTGAAAATGTTTTATCATTTGTATTTTTAAAAGGCATTTTGCTTGTGGATCGTTTTTTCAATCCTGGGAGCAACCTGGAAATTTAAAAAGTCTGCCCTCATCTTCTGGAGGGAGATAATGAAGCCCTGGAAAGTTAAGAGATCTGTCCAAGGATAAAGAGCCAATTATTGACAGTTGAAAAGTACCGCAGCCTTGCTGCCATTTAATGCACATTATATTTTCCCCAGCAATTGGAGTGATATTCGAGTTCATTAAAAAACTTAAAGAAAACTGCCAAAATTCATCATTTATTCAAGCAACATGATTTGCTCCATCATTTTTTCCATTCATCATTTTTCAATCTTTCACATTTTAAACAAGAAGGATTCTAATGAGGTGAGTGTTAAATTCAGCTTCAAAGAAATCACTGGATTTCTCCCCACAGACAATAGCCATAAAGCATTCCACATGTTCCTTGGAATGAGGGGTGTGTCCTCGGAAAAGGGCTACACAGCTGGGGGGAGGGGGATCTGAAGGGTGTGTCATCCGGAAGAGTTTGAGCTTTGTTGTCCTTATTGAGTAGGCGTGAAAAGTCAGCAGAGGTTCCAAATGGAAGAGCAATGGGACAGTTTTCTGTTTCAACCAGTCCACCTGGAGCAGATGGGTAAGACAGGACGATCCTGGAGAAAGGGAAATGAAAGTCATACGATTAAGAGGTGGCCCAGAGGGATTTGTCTTGTGCCCTCTCCAGTGGCAATGTGATCCGTGGCCTTCAGCAACTCATGATGAAGAATCTTAAGTCTCTGAGACAAAGTTACTCCTATAATTTGCTAGGTATTTTATTAGACTTTTCGCAAGATGTTCAACTTTAGGGTTAGGGTAAGGGTTAGAGTTAGGGTTCAGGTAAGGGTTAGGGTTAGGTTTACGATTAGGATTCAGGGTTAGGATTGTTATTCCCTAAACCAAAGCCTAAGATTCAGCCTCCCTTTTTGTAATTATTTGTATTGGTCAGTTTTTGCGATCTGTCCAATTTATAGGCATTCACATGCAGGTACAAATAAAGATTGCTTACTAATGTGGAATTTCAATGATCACCGAATTTTTTTCAAAAGTATTTAATGAAATGATTTTTAAAAACAACCTACTAACTGTCAGATGTCTTTCAAAAATATGTAACACCTGTTAATTAGAACAGAACAAACAAACAAACAGTCAAGGCCTTCAGGGTTCCCTAGATCATACAACTTTCTGCTTCTTTCCTGACACCACAGCCCTAAGCCTTCCTTCATCCCTGGACAATTGGTGCCAAAGGCTGAAGCCCACAGAAACTGGGACTGGAATTGTTCTGGCAGCAAAAGGAGGCCCTAAAAGCATCTGATTATTTTAAAATGTGCTTTCATTGTGCTGCTTGCAGCTGTGAGTCAATTTTGTTTAAAAAAAAAAAAAAAAAAGACCATTTGCTTCTTTAAAATCCAGGTTTTTCCCCCTCTGCAGAGCAGCTGCAAGAGGAGCAGCATCACTTCAAATGCCCACCATGTCCCCAAGATTGTCACTCTGAGAAGATGCCTTTCTTACCACCACAGAATCCATTCTGTACTCCAAAAGGCCAAGGTTCCAAGGGATCCCATCATTGGCTGATCTGGGCAGACGGGCATGTGGATGGACCAACTGTGGATTTGCAAAGCATTATAGCCGCCTCAGAAATTCTCTGGGCCAACCCTCAAACATTTACTGCTGAGAAAACTCAAAGGCAGAGAAGTTAAGTGACTGACCTAAGATTTCACTTCTATGTAAAGCAATGCCATGGCATATATATTCTGGAAGCAGAGTGCAATAGGGTTGAGAGTAAGTGAGATGTTGTCATTAGATTTTACCAGTAGGCAATCATCTCCCCACAAAGCAATATTTATTACTGCTGTCCATGCGACATCTTTAAGATGCTGGGCCCCTTGGCCTCCTGTTTTCCTTCAGTTCCACTTGGGAGTCACATTCTCAGTAGAATTCTGGACCACTTCTCTCTTCCCATTCCCCATTTGCCTTAGACTCCCTCAAAAAATACCTGTAGTGGTTGATTGTGTCTTGAAAAACTCAGAAGTTTAAAGAAATCTGCTCAGCAATTCTATACCCTAAGGTGTAGAGGACCCATCTTGGCGTGGCTTGTTGCCTGGGTGGTAGGTGTCAAGGGGAAATGAGGAAGGACAGAGCTGCTTCTGTTCTGAGGAGTTACAGTGTCTTGCCTTTGTGCTTTGCCTTAGATATTGGCTCCTGGCTTCCAGCACAGACTGTTAGGCTTCCCTTGTACACTGTTTAGCATTCCATCTTAGATGTATCCTCCCGATACAGACTCACACAGGTCACTGCAGTGAGCACCAGATCTTGGACTGAAGTCTCCAGCATGCAGACACCTTCTGCTTCCTCATCTGACTCTGTTGCTGATCATCATAAGCTAATCTTGTAATTTCTTATACATTTGTAGATCTTGTATTACATCTAGTAAAATACTGACTGATATAATACCCCTCCATTAAACCCCCTCATCCATCATCCTGTCCATGGCACCATGCCTTGTGTTTCTAGTCGGTTTGATGTGTAAGTGCCTCACTTACATTTCCTTCTAGTTTTGGAGATCTTCATTGCTCATGGGCTTTCTTCCTTTGACCATTCTGCCAAATTAGCAAGGCTGTTCAAGAGCTGGTTTTGAATCTCCTGTCCTCCAGGGGTAAGATAATCAGTGTTTCTGTGAATCCTTCCATTGTTACTATTCCTTTAGAAGGAGCCATATAGCAATAAATAGTAGTAATCAATCCCATCTCTGTCACTGCCCCGTTAGCTACAAGGTGGCTCTGCCAGTCACTTGCCAATCAATTTCACAGAATGTAGATTGCACCTCACCCAATTCAAGCCTCCTAATTAATGGAGTGACAAAATTTTGACATTTTGTTGGCTTTTCTGGCTCTTGTGGGAATTTGGGGAGGAGGATTGAAGGAAGTAGAGAAGGGGGAGAATAAGATGAGAAGAGGCATCGAGTTAATGTGCTTTTGCCAGTTTTTAGCTAATAGCAATTGTCTGAGTAAGTCATTTTTTCTAATTATAAAAGCAATATGGGTTCAATATATAGCATCCTTTAAAACTACTGGGAAACATAAAGAATAAAATTAAAATTAGGTTACTTACTTTTCACCTATTTTATTTTCATGTTATAAAAGCCTTAATGCCACTTACTTTAAATGATTTTAAGGTAAATGCTAGCTCATGGGCAGACGTCAGTGCTGTTCTGCTTCATTCCACCTCTCTGCTCTGCCTTCTGGGTGTCGGATCATCTTAAAACTAACTTCCCCTGTGGTCACAAAATCTCTTTAAATATCACCCAGGAAGATATGATTTTTCATTCATGTCCAGAAAAAACTGGAAATCTCCCACACAAGCATTGAAAAGAGGTCTTTTCATTCTTTCTGATTCTACCAGGTAAAACTGTATGCCTGCCTCTGAACAAGACATTAAGGCAGAGTGTTAGGGAAATACTGGCCGATGAGTACAAAGTTTCAGTTCTGTAGGATGTATGTATTTAGAAATCTAAGATATAGCATGACACTGCAGTGAGTAGTACTAATTGTACCCTTGAAATTGCTAAGTGTTCTATCACACACACACCCCAAAAGGGGACTATTTGGAGAGATACATTCATTAGGTTAGTAATCAGTTCCTTATGCCTATGTATAACAAAACATCATGCTGTATACTTTAAATGCATACAATTTCAATACAATTTAATATAGTAAGTGACTCAAGCCAGGGTTAAATATCTACCTCTGATGTAAAAGCCACTTCTAGAAAAGTGCTGATTGATTTGACCTAGTGATGAGCAACCTGTGAAAGTCAAATGGGGATCAGGATGCATGCTGTTGCCAATGGTCTGGGGTGAGAGATTACAGAATGGAAGTAGGAAAATCAGTCATGATATTTTGTGTACTCTTTAGATTCCCAATGTTCAGAGAAGAGCTATTGTTGACATTTTTGTTACATAGCACCACACACATACATATACTCTGTGGATGTGTATATTATATCAAAATTATATTGTATTTACTGTTTCATGGCCTCTTATTTTTCACTGAAAAAGAGGAAAGTTTTTTATGTCATCAAATCTTCTTGTAATATTTAAAAACTGCATGGAACATAAATAACAGCAAAGATCTGGGTATTCCTTAACTTGTTTTACTTTTCTCATTTACTGATTAAGCTACCATAGGCCATCTGCACATGTACCATTGTTTACATGAAGCTTCATTTCCATAGGTTAGAGTACTAGAACTAGAAATGTTTAATGGAGGCACATAAACAAAATTGTTGAATATATATTAAAGAAACACTGTGCCAATTTTACAGGTTGGCAATATTACACATCAGCATATTTTAGTCTCCACACCTGTTGTATTTTAAATCTCTAAAAAATTTTTTAAATGTTGTTAGGGTTGGTAGTTAAGTCTATAAGGGAAAGTAAAAAGGAGAAATCACTAATTTATTAAAAGGTTGGAATTCAGAATATTGTAAGTCAAGTTTTTCAACTTATGGTGCCTAGGGCTATAATCGGAAAAAACACAGAATAAGGTCATACTTATGTGAGGAAGTCATAAGACAGTTTTTTTGAGCATTGAGTGACTGCTCATCCTGACTGTTTGGTATGTTAGTGACAGGTGTGCAATTTGATTTAGCTCAAGCAAAAAGGTAAATTTATGAACTTACCTAACAAGAAAGAATAAGAGTGTAACTGGAAATGACCAGGGCCAAAGATTTTGATGGTACTGTGATTCCTCACCTTTCCTTATCTCTACCTCTATCTGCTTCATCTCCTATTGCAAGTCATCTTGGAGAAGCTTATAAGAATGCATATTTTTATTTTACCATCAAAAACTCATCCCTACTCCTCAGATTCAGTTTCAAAATTGATTGGCCAGGATTAGTTCATCTGCAGGACCATGACTGATAGCCCTAAATCTAAGGCAGTCCAAGTCAGGAAAAGCTGGTCCTGTAGAGGAGAATGGCGTTAGTCATGGTTTAAGTCAGGGTCCCCCAAGCCTCAGGAATTATGGACTCGACCAAATCTAGCATTTGTGATTGGTTCATTTTCTAGCGCTCGGGTTAGTGGTGTGAGTACTATCACAGCCTAGTGTTCCAGCATACTATGTAATGGCAGGAAGAAAGTATGTCTCTCTCCCTTTCTCTCTCTCTTGCCAATTTGCACCTTGTTGTTTGCAGTCATCCATGAATGGCAGCCCACCAAGCCACCCTGCCACTTGGAGCCAGCTGAATATGGGATGAAACCTCCAACTTGTAAGAAATAAACCTTTCCTTTCTTCATTTTAGGATTTGGGTATTTTGTCCTAGCAATGAGAAAAAAGTAACTAAGACAGTGTTATTGAAAGAAGAAATGTGTGCTAAGTAAATACCAAAAAAACTTAAAGAGATGTCTTAAAGTAGTTTTTTAAAACTCCATGAAATAGTTACTGCCACAAATGTATGTAAAAGGAAATTGAAACTCACAGAAATCATGCTATTTGTCTTGGATCAACTTCTCTGTCTCTCTGTCTCTGTCTGTTGTCTCTGTCTGTCCCTGTCTCTCTACCTCTGTCTATGTCTCTTTCTGTTCCTATCTCTCTGTCTCTGTCTCTCTGTCTGTCTG